CAACCAAAGAAATCATTTTTAATTGTTCTCCCTGATTCTGAAAAAAGAACACAGAACTTTTTCAGACAGTTCTGTTAAGAGATGATTCATTATAGCTATTATTTGTTAAACACCTAAACCACATACTGAAATAAGTGCCTTGCATATATTATAATTTCATTTAATTCTCACCACAATTCCATGTGGTAGATATTTTCATCCCTATTTTACAGAGTAGGATGTTGAAACATAGTGACATTAAATAACTTGCATAAGATTAAAAGTTATAAAGTGGCAGAGCCAGGACTCAAACCCAGATCTTTATGACTCCAGTGCTATGTTCTTTAACATTTTGCCATATATCCAAATTATCCCACAAAATCACTTCCAAATTATAAGGAGATAAGTAAAATTTAAATATTTAACTGCTAGGAACTAATGTATTTATTTAAAGTAGGCCAAATGTATTAAGTAACAGTTATGCTCTATAAGCATAATTTTATCCCCGAATCTGTTTTTTAAAATGTATACAGTATATCTGTGTTGGTTTTGTTAACGCGATACATTTTACTTAACAATTGAGATGTACAGTTGTTTCAACTTTATTTTTATTCTATTTTGTATTAAATTGATAAACAGGTATATCTGAGTAAATGATACAGGAAACTGCATCAACTCCAAAAAGGAGGGGCATCTAATGTCAAGATTTAAAATACAGTTGCTTGTTTTGTCTTTTTATTATCTGAATTGGGGAATAGGATATGTAACATGTATTTGCACAACTACAGTCCAATGATTTAAAATTTATCTACCAAAGCACATGCACACCAGGGCACTATCACACTCATGCGTTACCAAGAAGAGACCACCAGGATGTCACTGTAGTGCACTGTGATCTTAGTTTAAAGCATACAGTCTGCACTGGCAAATTGGGCCACTTGATGTCACCCATCATTCCCAGTCTGGCAGATCACATGTCCCTGAGCCTGGAACTTTAGGACAAATTTTGTCAATGGCCATAATGGTATCAATTTTTAAGTGAATGAAAAATTTTTAAAAAATCTTTAGAACAATTCTTCTGCAATTCAGACTTCTGATAACTAACCTGCTGTTTTATCATTCTACAATTTACAGAATGCCATATCCTTGGTCAAGAGTATATGTCCCAATTATGCTACTCTTCTTATATGAAATAGAATAATACTCGCTGTGATTTCCATAAATGTACTAAAGAAAAGGTAAAGTCTGCCTAAACTTGTTTCTTTAATTAGATAAGCTTATTTATTTTAAAATTTAAATACACCAAACTTTCACATTTTGGATCAAACCTATTCATATAGGATTAAGCTGCCAAAATAAAAGAAATTTTTCTAAATTTTAGTTTAACAAAGACTGACATCCTATATTATAATCATTGAAAACAACATGTTCAGTAATGTGTCACAGTTACTTGACAGTTGACATGTAACAATACCTGTCCTCTCCTCAGATCTTCACTTGGGGGAAAGAAAAAAACCTGAAAGATGGTAAAAATGAACAGGAAAAGGAAAGAAACTTAATAAAACATATTTTTGCAAAATCAATGATCATACTTTAATAGAACGTTTTTCCATACAGATGAAATATAAGAAATTGAATATTGATATAGTAGAAACACTACAGAATCCGAAATAATCTTTATGGTTAAAAATGACTGCATAATCACTGAAGATGGTTTTCAACACAAGGATCTCATTTTTTTTATAAGGAAAAATATATAGTTACTAATTTTCTATGCATTATGGGTACTTGTTACTTAAAGGAACTCAAGGTGGCTCTTTTTATATAACACATTTCTATAAAGAAAAATAACATCTTTAACTTTATTTTTGAAAACCATTCTTTAGCTTTAATACCATTTATTCTTACTTGACTGAAACTGACCAAAAAAAAGTATCACTTTAGATCAGGCTTATTGTAATAATGGTAAGGATAATACAAATTCAGCCTTATTCTAGCCTATCATGTTCTGGCCCATGCTTGAGTTCAACCACAAGGGCTTTTGCTTTGTTTTAAGCATGAGACCTATGTGAGGTCTTAAAGCAGGAAGGCCCTAAAGGATAGAAGAAACTACCTGTACTTCCGGTGAGGTACTCAGGTGTTGAAGATTGTTCATGTTTCAATGTAAGATTAAAAATGATAATAACAGAGATCAGATTGGTCACCACTCTATTCCTGACCTTCATAATTCATTCAGTGGACATCTACTGGGTTCATAATATGTCTGTGCCAGGAATTGTGTTACGTGCTGAGGATACAGAGAAAAAGTTTCTGCTTTCAAGAGTTCTACCAGGGATGAGACTATAATTGTAAATTCTTATAGCGACCAATCCTGAAATCTCTTAGCCTGGAGAGAAAAAAATTTGATTTATTTACTCGTTAAATGACTATTAAAAACAAACAAACAACAAACTATCCTAGTCTGGTTAAATACAACTATTCTCTGCTAAGAACTTACTGGGGAGGAGATGGCAAAATAGGAGTCCAATATAAGACTTCAGAATGAAAATTCTCAACTTTTTCCTTACTGGATTCAATCTTTTCAAATTTGTATCACAAGCAATTTACTTGAAAGTGTTAACCAAAGGCAACAAACATATTTAAGGGCAATTTGTTAAAAGGTAGTTTTAATAAATCTAGGCAACACTGGCTCTGTCTTAACATACCTTATGTTATAATACCAAGAAAATTCTTTTAAAATGGCAAAATTTTATGATCCTATCTGCCAGGTTCTGGAAACCATGACAGTAACTGAAATAACTAGGCTTTAACAAATGAGACCTCTGTAATACCATAATTGTTTCTGAAAAATACATGGTCTCTATCTACAGGCTTATTTATTTATACCATGAATTTTTTCACAAAGGATTTGAAGCAACTGCTCTGATATAAAGCAAAGCACATGAATTGGATCCACCTGGCCTTGAATTATGGCTCTACCATTTACTATTTATAATCTTTGTGCCCTTAACTTCTGAGATTCAGTTTCTTAATCTGTAACAATGGGGACCATAAAATCCATTCTCCTGGGTTATAGGAAGGATAAAATGAAATAGTATGCAGCATAGTGCCTGATATATAGTTAAGTCCTAAATATCAGCTCTGTGCCTTCCTTATCCAAATGTACGATATACAGAAAAAGGATAAGGTGGAATTTTAAGCGATTTTTTTTTACACATGGATGCATACCAAGCAGAAACCTGGACTGATTATGAGTTGCAAATGTGAATGTTTGCATCTAAAATTCAGGCTCAAAGCAAATTAAATTTCTTTCCACAAGGTCAGCACTTTGAGAACATATTTGATTAACCTTTGAGCTATCTTATTTAACAACAACAACAAAAATTCTGAGGGAAAAGAGCCCCCGAATCCTATTTTTCACACTATCCATTCACAGGATGACTGAACATTCTCGATTCGATTTTCTTATCAAAAGCCTTATAGTATTAGTTGGCTAACATAATTTCAAATGAAATGCTCGTCATTCTGCCAGTCCTAACAGCATGATTTCCTTTATAAAAAAAAAATAGGTAACATATATCGTCTTTTCTGTTAAAGGGCAGCGCTTCGTTTAGGGTTTAAAAATACGACCCAAGTGGCAAAATCGGAAGCAGGATCACAACTCTACCTGCAGGGCGTTTCAGACGGCAGCAGAGGTGGGTAGGGAACAAACTGAAAAGCGCTTTGCACGGATCCCCCTTCCCCTTCCCCTTTGCGATTCTCGAACGCGACGTCCAGCATCTCAGATCAAACTGAGCCTGGGTCTCACTGACGTAACCGGTAACCCTATCCGCCGCTCACACTGCGGAGGCTGGCAGGGCAGTGCCGCCAAGTACACCACTCATCCCAGCCTGCCCCATCCCACCCCCGCGTTCAGTCATGCTTTCCAGAAATGGGGTCACACAGGAACTATTACACACGCACACACCGCAGCCTACCAGCCTGTGATCCCCCAAAGTCCGCAAAAAAGTCAAGAAGGAAGAATCGCAGACGCGCCACCATCAGGAATTGATTTTCCGCTCCGGAGAGGAGCGCGGATGCCCTGGAACGGGGCTCGCTCGCTCGGCTTATTTTTTGTGTGCGGACCCCGACTGGGTTCCGGGATCTCAGGAGCGGCTGCGAAAAGCGGGGTGCTCCGGTGTGTCTGGGGAGATCCTGTTTGGTTATATTTGGTTTTTGGCATGGGGGGGTGGGGTGGGGGGGGCGGCTCGGTCAGGGACGGTCACCGGATCCAGGGGCGAGGAGACCCAGAAAGCCTTTTGGGGCGCCCGCTGATCCCCTTGATTCTCACCCTCTCGCTTCCGCGGGCAGGAAACTCAAGTGAAACTCACAGGAGCGGGGATCCCGGGGCTCAGCGATCTCAGAAACCGGGGCTCGGGGAGAGGTGGGGGGGAGACCTCAGGCTTCCACTTTGTCCTTTGAGGCAGCAGAAAGGGCTGCGGCAGATGGGGGGACCCCGCAAAAACCCCTGGCTGTCCCGCACCCCTTCCCGAACCCCCCCCCCCCCCAGGTCTCTTGCGCCTGGGCGGTTCCTGCCCCCGCGTGCTGGTCTCCCCGCAGCAGCCCCGTCCCCAGGCCGGACCCGGAGAGCCCCCGCTCCGTGGGGAACACAGCCCGTACCCCCTCATTCATCCCCCAAAGCCACCAGGGTCCGCGGAAGCCCCTCACCACGCAGGGCCAAACTTCCCAACTCTTCGCAAGACCCCGCTCCGCCTCCCGCTCCCCCCACGCAAAGTTGCTGGCAATCGGCTCCTGGCAAAGCCCCGGCGCCCACTCCGAACCCCACGCGCCGCCACCCCGCGGCCCCCGGAGCGAGGGCGGGTGGCAGAGAAGGGCGAACCCCAACTCCCCGAACCGGAATCCCAGAGCGGGGGGGACCGGCGAGCGGCAGGAGAAGGGGCCGCGCGGCCGGCTCCGGAGGGGAGCCAGCTGGCGGGGTGGAGGGAGGGGGCGCGCCGCCCCGGCCGCCCGGCGGCACTCACCTCAGCGCTGTCGGACGGGCTCTCCACAGCCATCTTCTGCCACGGGTCCGCCAGCTGCGCCAGCGGCATCTTCCCCCCCGGCCCACCGCCTTCACCGCCTCCTCCCTCCCCACCCGCCCCGCGGCCGGCCCGACTCAGTCGCCGCCCGAGCCCCACGGCAGCAGCGGCGGCGGCGGCTCCCCTGAGAGGGCTCGGCGTCCGCACCGACCCTCGAACACCGCGCGCCCGGCTGGAGACGCCCGCGCGCCAAGCGAGAACCTCGCGCTGCTGCCCGGCACCGGGGCTCGCCCCTTTCTTCCTCTCCTCCTTCCGCCGCGGGGACTGCGGCTCCGCCCCCCGCGCCTGTTCCCGCGCCCGCTCCCGGCAGAATAGCCGCCGCCGCGCGCTCCCCCACTTCCGCTCACAACATGGCGCCGAAGCGGTACCTGTCTCTCAGAGCCGCGCTCCGCCGGCGCCGCCACCGCGCGCGCACGCGGGGGGCGGGGCCTGAGAGGACACGCCCATGGCCGCCGGGCTTGGCTCCGCCCCCCTCCCTCACCCCAGCCCCAGCTCCCTGGCCTCGCCTACTTTCAGGAAGGGCGAGCCCCGGAGATCTGGGGGCGTTGGCGAGAGGCGGGGAGGAAAGAAGGGGTGAAAAGGCAGGAGGGGCAAAAGGCGGGGAGCCTTTCGCTGCCATGGGTCCGAGCAGTTCGGAGGCTCCTTGGGGATGGAGAGAACAGTGGTCCCCGCTCAGCTGTGGAGGGAGATGGGAGAGGACAGGGGCCACAGCCTGGTGCCCAGGACCCCGGGGAGGGGAACGGGCGTGGATGTGTCTATCCGGCCTGTCTCCTCTGTGGGGGCGTGTGGGTACACCGAGTCTATGGGTACATCCCATGATGGCCAGGACCCGCCCTCTCCAGAGTCACAAGCTGGCCATTCACCTGGCCCCCACACCTTTTCCCACCACGGGGACATCTGAAGGCTTCTTGCTGGGCGCCCCCTGGGAGATAGGCTCTCAGTTTGGTTCAAGACTCTCCAAATTATCGCTCTTCTGTTATATTTTTAATATTTGGAATTCATTCATCTTACATGAGTCACCCCCCAAGTCCGCAGAGCCCTTAACCCCCTCATCCCCTCCCCCCCCCACACACACACAAACACTCCTTGCTGCCTAAATCTTCACAAAGGGGAAAACAAGCAGGTTCCTTAAGGCTCTCGACAGCTCTCGGCAGAGATTGGGGATTATAATAAAACATCTTGTTGGCAGGAGCCCGGGGTTCCTGCTCTTTTATTGACTTTACATAAATAAAAGATTAGGTTTAAAAATCAGGCAGGCCTTGGGGTGCAGGAGGAGGAGAGGGGAGGCGTCCTAACTCCTCCTTCCCAAGATAGGGAAGCCCTGGGTGAAGGAAACCCAATCCCTAGACGGTGCTGGCGCCCCAGAGGACGAGGGGTGAGAGTGTGGGGAGAGGCCTGACCATTGGGAGTAAGTCTCTAAGGGGGCGGGGAGCGGGGACGGGGGAGGGAAGGATGCGACCCTGAGTGCCCCGTGCTGTGCCTGGGGCCAGGGCGAGCACCGGGGCAGAAAGGTATCAAAGTCGCTGCGCTGTTTGGAAAGCTAGGGCAGCCGCTGGCTAATGAAGGAAACAAAATAAAGGGAGCTCTCTGGGCTGGCCGGTGCCCTCATTCCGGGAGGCCTCCGCCCAGGCGTCCGGACCTCCCACGCCCAGCGACTGCAGCGCGTCCCCACTGCCCTTTTAACAGCTCCCTTTCATGGTCCCGGGTCCCAGACACTTGGGGAGCCCTAGCCTAGCTCGTGAACACAGGTGCGGGGATGAGATTAGAGCCCCACACTTAGCCTACCAGTAGAGCAAGGTTTTGCGCTGGGCCAGTCAGGTGTTAGACTATTATTATTATTATTATTATTATTATTGACTAAGGTATTACATATGTGTTCCTATCCCCCTATTTCCCCCACCCCCAACCCGCTCCCGTTCATGCTCCTTCACCCCCCTGGTGTCTGTGTCCATTGGTTAGGCTTATATGCATGCATACAAGTCCTTTGGTTGCTCTCTCTCCCTTCCCCCCTCCCTCCCCTACCTTGCCTCTGAGGTTAGAGCATCTGCTGGATGTTTCTCATCTCTGGGTCTGTGCTGGACTCTTGCTGCAGCCTTCGCAGGCATGCGCCTTGGCACAGGCCCCCCCTCAGAGGAGGCTTCATCTGTTTTACTTTAACTGGAGGAATAACTTTCAAGACAAAGTTAATTGTCCTGCAAAAGTGATGTAAATAGTGTTGCAGGAATTAAGCATTAAACAAACTGTAAAGAATGGTCTAAAAAGTACCATCTGAACAGCTAGCTGTCTTACACATAGGATCACTCAATAAGTATTTGTGAATTGATTTAGAAAAAAAAACAAAACACTATTATGCCTCCTTTTGCCCCGGAAGAAAAGAAAGCGATTTTTTTTTCTTTTGGTAAACAGTAAACTGGTGTGTGTGTGTGTGTGTGTGTGTGTGTGTGTGTGTGTGTGTGTGTGTGTTTTGTTTTTGTTTTTAATTAAACCCAAGAGTGGTGAAACCATTCTCTGGCTGGGAGAGTTTGGGGAAATCAAACCAGGCTGGAGGATTGTTCTTATAAGTGGCAGCAAAAGGAGTTATGTGAACTTCTATAGAAGCTGATACTGCTCTGAGCAGGAATACTTTTTTTTTTCTTGTTCAAGAAAGAAAAAACTCTTAAGTGTAGTTAGTCAATGACTAGTTGCCTCTAGAAATCCTCCTGTGCAGGCTAATGTGGTAGCCACTAGCCACAGGTGGCTCTTGAGTACTTAAAATAAGGTTGGCTGGAACATCCATGGGCAATGTTCCTGCACACCCCCTACTGGGGATGGACCCCCAAACCCTGGAATCAAACCAGTGATACTCAACCACTGAGCCACACTGGCTGGGCTCTTTTAACTTTTTATGTGACGACTATAACATGTATCTTTACACATGTGGCTCAGTACTGCTTTAGAACTCTCCTTTTACACTGAACCTTTTATGTATTCCTGCAAGTGGTATAATGTAATATCCTCACATTACACTGTCTTTTGAACTTCTGGGTGTAAAACCACCAGAAAGGGCTGATTCAGTTACCTACTGATTCTATGCCACCTCCCCTTTCTGCCCCCCCCCCAACACACACATAAACTTCTCAGTCAGAACTAAAGTATTGGAAAGTTATTACTTGAAACGACAGCAAAGGAAACAGTAAACCTCACTTGAAAATGTGGACTAGGTTTCCAGGAAATCATCCCTGATGTATGACAAGACAACCAGATTTAACCTCCTCTGTCCCCAACAATTTCCTGCTATAATTATAACCTTTGTACACAAGTTTAAATGGACATTTACTTAACAAAATAACATTCGTTCAAAAAATGGAGTTACATCAGTCTGGAAAAGTTCCAAGATGACTAACTATGGCTCATGGCACAATATCTACCTCACATACATCCAAAATTCACAGCTCTTTTGCATATGGCTTGTCACTACTATAGAAAACCCATAAAGTGTAATCATCAACTCTCTGAAAAAGATCTTTCCTTTACACTATCTGAAGCATAGTTATTTTTTACACAAAAAGAAAAAATAATCACTGGAAACTATTTAACTCTCCCCCCCCCCCCCCCCCCCGAGAGAAAGAAAGATAAAGCTTAGGCTCAAATTTCATCTCAGGTAAGACAATAATGAAACAAAATACATGGTGATGTATCTTTCATGGGTTTGAATTTTGTTTTTCCTTGAAAATTTCCCAAATAAAAATTAAGACTATTTTCTTGATTGACACATATCTGAAGAGAGAACAGAAATTTCTTTAAAAAATATATTTTATTGATTTTTTACAAAGAGGAAGAGAGAGGAATAGAGAGTTAGAAACATCTCTGAGAGAGAATCATTTATCAGCTGCCTCTTGCACACCCCCTACTGGAGATGTACCCACAACCAAGGTACATGCCCTTGACCAGAATCGAACCTGGGACCTTTCAGTCCGCAGGCCAAAGCTCTATCCACTGAGCCAAACCGGTTTCGGCGAGAACAGGAATTTCTACATCTATTTTCAAAATTTCTACATCTACATCCAAAATATTCAAATTTTGGGAAATCTAAGGATCTACTCTAGATTCCCCTCCAGATATAAAGTTCAATAATTCTAGTCATAGATAATGAAGTATACCAATAAAATCTATAAGTAACTAGAGGGAAGACATTCCACAATACATATACTTAACATGTTTACTTAACATGTTTACTTCAACATTCTTCCCAGTTAGGCAATATGGGGTCATGATAAAAGCAGAGACAGGCCTATGTCCAAACTCCAGGTTCCTTTGCGTCTCTAAGCTTTAACTTGAAGGCGTAGAACAGGATCTGGCACAGAGTAGTTGCTCAACAAATATTTGCTGAATAAACTTTATTTTCCTTTCCTGAAAATAAGGATGATAATAACCACCTCAGAGAATTGTTGGGAGGATTAAATGGAGATAGTGTCTGTAAAGCATTAAGCACAGAGCCTGCCACATAGAAGCACCCAATAAATGGAGCTATTGTTATCAGCTTCAGAAAGGGAGTATTCCTGCATACGTAATGCAACTCAAATACCTCACTCTTGAAAGTTGTTTCTTTCCATTTGTTGTCTGAGCATTTTCTCATGGTATAATCATTTATTTAGGGCACTCTTGTATTACACACACAAAAAATGATACTGAGTAACTAACTTCCTGTGGAATTCAACAAGAGAGCATGTGGGGTAACTTACTGTTTTTCAAACCACATATTTTGAAAGGAAAATGATTACAGGTCAGTTGTCTCACAGGCAATGATCAAAGTTTGTGTAGTAATACGCAAGAGAAACTAACAAATGTATGATTCAAAGTTAACATTACCTGACTCATAGCTATGTTGAGAACATGGGAGGAACAGGGAAGTATGGAGGGGAGGTGTGTGTCAGCCATGCTTTAATGTTTTATTGTTTTCCAAAATGTTTAATCCTTAGAGGTGTCATTTTATTTCAGAGCTGTTTGAAGGGAAAGAATTATGGGGCTTTGAG